TGGCTAGGGACACCCTTCCTACCCATCCTGGCCAATAGCCATCGACAGACCAAACCTCTAGGACTATCTAGCTCTTTTTTGCACCCTGTCAAAGTCCTGGTCTTCACAACATCCTGCGGCGAGGAGTTCCACAGGTTGATTGTGCACTGAGTGAAGAAAAACTTCCTTTGGTTTATCTCAACTCTGGACAGCGCTTCCCTGTGAATAACCAAGCTCTCTGAATGTGAGTCTAAGGTGCCACAGGACTGCTCCTTGTTTCTGAGTTAACCCTCGTTTACACAGCTGGTTTGCTCTGGTTTCGCCACTGGAGCCCACACCAGAGAAAGCCTCTCCCATCGAGGGTCAAAGCCACTGGCTGTGCTGCTCCAACAGCTTAGAAGAGAACTAGATAAATTCATGAGGTTAGGTCCATCAATGGCTATTAGCCAGGATGGGCAGGAACGGTGTCCCTACCTGTTTGTCGAGGGTGCTTGATCACACTTGATCACACCTGTTCGGCGCACTCCCCCGGGGGCACCCGGCCCTGGCCACTGTCGGCCGACAGGACACTGGGCTGGAGGGACCTTTGGTCTGACCCAGCCTGGCCGTTCCCCTGTTCTTATGTTCATGCAACTCCAGGCACCTGGGGTCCATCTCAGAACTGCCGGGGCTTCGTGCTACATTTCTGAGCACCTGGAAGCCCTCGTCAGGGACCAGGCCTCTCCACCGTGTGAACCCAGCGCAGCGCAAGCAGCACAGCTTCTCCAAACGGTGCCCAGTGTGCCAGGTCCGCCCCCTGCGAGGCACACCCCCCTCCCGTGTGGGGGCCCTGCCCTGCCTCTCAGCAGCCCCTGGGTGCTGCATGCAGGCTCAATGCCCCGCACCCACGGAGAAGCTCTTGAAGTTGGGGCAACAGCCCCGCGGAACCAGGCGCTGACAGATCCCCTCCTGAGCCCAGCGCCCCCTGGGAAATTTCAGCCCAAGTTCCCAACTGGGCCAAGGGCCTCTCCTGGCGCAGGCCTTCCCCGAGGGGCCGTGCCGAGCTGGCAGCCACCGTGCCCTGGGGTCCCAGGAGCCAAGCGGCGCGTGCCAGAACAGGGCAAGGCTTTCAGGCGGCCTGGCTTGCTGGCTTCCCGAGAGCCGCCCCTGTGCCGTCCGTCCCGCGTGCGCGCACACACACACACACCAAACAGCTGGGAGAACCGTAGGGGAAGGGGGGAGGATTTCAACCGACGCACAGGCTGGCCCAGGAAGGGCAGGGTGCATGGCACAGAGCCAGGGTCGGTGCCACCGAAGGCGTTTTCCCAACTGGCGTGTTTGCTAAGGGTGCAGCCCTTGGAGGAACCGTCCAATCCCAGGGCCTGCGTTGTTTACATGCAGCGCCAGGAACCGGTTCTGCAGAGCCAGCCTGAGACGGGCTGTTACCCCGGGAGTCTCCTTTCTGAAGGGGAGGCAGTGGAAGGGCAGGGGGATGGGTCTCCAGCCAGCTGCCCCAACCCTCCCCTGAATCTCAGCCTACTCCCAGCCCAGGTGCAGGAGGAGGGAACAGGCATGGTTAATCTATAACCGGAGATCTCCGCCCTAGCAGCTGTGGGCTTCTCCTGCAGCTCAGAGCTGTGCTCCAGAGCTGGGAGTGGGGCACAGCCCCTTTGCTAGGCTGGCTGGCACAGGGGGCAAGCTGTCCCTCTCTGCTAGGCAGGCCCGGTACGGTTCTCGCAGCGACGCTCTGCTGTGGAACAGAGGCTGGACAGTCCAGGCTGGCTCCATTTTCCAGCCCAAGCCGGCTCCGCCGGGAGAGCGGGGACGTTTCCCCCTCCACGGAAGAGCTGGAACGCGCCCAGTCAGTGCCAAGGCAGCTGCCTCAGTACAAGGA